CTACCTACTACCTACTACCTACTACCTACTACCTACTACCTACTACCGACGACGACTGCGACTACGATGGCTCCCTGAGCCGATAATTCAGGGGGAATGGACCTCATGAGTGGTTATCTCATTCCTTGTTGACCTTGTTGACCTACCATGTGGGGGGGGAGGTTTATTAATCCGGTCTTTGCATTACAGGGCTGAAGGGGATAAAATGGTATCAATATCGCAAGGTGAATTTTTGGGTGCTCTTGGCTCTTGATTAGAAGAGGGAGACCCCCCACAATCCACCCACAAACCCCTAGCTGTCGGCTCCTTTTATCTTGTGTGGTCTCTCATTTTGCGATAGACCAGTCTTTTTCAGACTAAACATCCCACTAGGTGACTGAGTGGGAGTATTGCACTGGCCAGCCATGTTTCCTCCTGCTGATCAGCTTAGCCCTTTGCCGCCCAGGCACAGCTGGAAGATGTAGATCCTCAGGCTGACCGAACAGCCACACCCCCAAAATCGGAGGGTCGCTTCCGCGCCCTTTGGAGAGTGGTTCTGGCTCAGAATGCTTCTTTCTGGCTGAGAATGCTCAGTTGGTGGGTTCTGGTTCTGAGAGCTTCTGTCTGGGCCGAAAACCGCTCTTTCCCCCGATGTTTGGTCTTCTCCTCTCCTGATTCCTGCTTGGTTCCACCGTCGTGTTTGGGCTCAGACCCCCCAAGAGGGGAGTCACAGCGAGGGGAGTCACTGCTGCGTGTTAAGTTGGTTTGTGTTGTTGCAACGTTCAGGAGCTGGTGATTTACCATACCTACTTAGAGGTTTTGGGTGACCTATGGGATAGTCAATATCCCGGATAGTCGAACCTAGGGTTCTTCAACCTCTGTTGGTAACCACCCATTGACCACGTCAGGATTATGATAGTTTTTTCGATGCTTGTACAGCCAACATCGAGCAACAGATCGACTGACCAGTCACTTTTGGGTATAAAAATATGGTCTTTGAACTTTGAACCCACAAGACTTCAGGTTCCTAACAACTCCGCGGATTTGCCAATCCAGGACCCCGGATCGCACATGTTACGTCCCAGTCTCGGCTGCGAATATTCCGCCAGAAGTGATTCGAAAATGCCCAAGACCTTCACGTTGATGGCGTTGCTTCCCTGCCTCGGACGAAAGAAGCTGCAGAAGAGGCTGCTGAACACTCTGACACATGCGAGAACAGGACATGGGATGCCCCTGAGTCCCTGAGAAGAACACTGCGCTGCTGTCAATCTCTAACACATCTCCTGACATCTCCTAACTCCGCCTGGAAGAGAAAGGTTAAGGGTTAACCAAAGCTTTCCACCTGTTCCACCATCCGAGCAATCTACACTTGAGATTGCAGGCCCTGAACACTCTGGATCAAGGATCACTATTGAACAAGAAAGGGGCAGAGGGCCCCACACCGACAACACCACACAGAGTCAGAGACTCCCCGCGGGTGTCGGAAACACCCCAAAAAATCTGTACACAGGATTGCTACATCACAGAAAGACAAGGATTTGCCTGAGGAAGAAAGTCGCGAGCATAGTTTCAACACAAATCACCAGCCAAGGCTAGACCTCCACCGACAAGCTCAGAGTTTCACAGCTGATCCAACAAAAAGGACCAAGAATTGTATCCACGGCCCCCATACTTCATGAGAAACCTCGCAAAACGAAGACGCTCTGCCCCTGTCACCCAAAGATCCGTGCCCTGAAGCAATCCATGCGGTACACAGCGGCCAAGAGACTTGCTATAGTTCCCCACATGCCAACCCGGGTGCAATGAAATTCGCCGATCAACACCGAAAATGTGAAAGGATTTTTTTTGTCCACCGAAGAAGATCTTCAAAAGTATTCTCGCTTGCCTGAAAATGTCCAGGAATCCCACATCGAAGCCACATGTAAAATGAAAGTTCTGTATAAGACACACAGGCATCCCTATTTGTACTCCAGCATGCGGAGTTCCAGCTTGTGAGGAGAAACCTCCTCTCAACTGCACTCATGGCAAGTTGTCTTTTGCTGACTGGCTCGCATTGCAAGGAATTTGGGGTTTCCAAGAAAACTTCGAAGAACATACGTCCTAGGGCCCCTTGTCATAAATTTCTTTCAACTGATTATCGGTCAAAGCGAGTGCAGGCGCTTCATCAACGATGTTTTCTGCATCGGGTTTGGAGTGAGGGCAAGGTGTGTCAACACCAAGCTGGAAATTCAAGCGCATCAGCCATTCGTGGTGACCCTGAACTGCAGCCATCACCTCTTGTTGGAGACCGGGGAGACTGGTGCATGAAGAGCCGCAACACGTTGAGCTTCCTTGTCAGCAATTCGGTTATTAGCAATGTCAAGCACTGTGGAGCCCAATGCATTGGCTCTTGACTCATCGAGCTCCGCGATGGGAACATCTTCCAGCAAGTGGGAGGGAATCCAGCGAAGCTCAATGGGATTATCACACTCACAAAGTCTCTCTTTCCAGGCCTGGTAAAGCCATTTCCACCAAATGTAGTGCACACTGTTCACATCAGGACCCAAGCGCTGTATTGCAACAAAGGCATTAACAACTGCTTGTCTATCTGTGTGGATGTGCACGGTGCTGCAGCGATTGCAAAAGCCTCAAGTACTACCCAAAGTTCTGCGGAGAAGGATGAAATGGAGAGTGCACGCACTCTACCGCTCCTGCATACCAAACCCTGTTGGCTGACGATCGCAAAGGAAGCAGTGTTCAGCCAAAAGATGTCTGCCCATTGAACCGAACCGTCTGTCCAAAGATGAACCGTATGGCCTCCTGCGTTGAACAAAGATGCATCTGGAAAAACACTTTGGGTTTGGATTCGAAAATGCGCAACCGACCATGGGTGTCCAAACAAACCCAAACGCCAAAAGTTAGGTCCAAAATCATGCTTGGTCCATGGGCCACATTTGGAGTGGAGTTCATTACAATGAAACATGAAGTGATCCAAAGTCTCCCTGGCTTGGGAGCAGAACCTACACGCGTCATCT